AAGACTCTATTGATTGACCAGCGTTTATTCTTCTTTTTGATATCATTTATAATCTCTTTGTTAAGAAATATTTTTCTGTTATTACGATTAATTTTTGCTAATTTTTTACAAGCTGTCTGGTATTTTTGTTAAATTTTGTAAGTTTTGTTTTGGTAAATTTTTTACAAGCTGTTTGGTAATGGTAATTGAAAAATTCACAACAATCAAACAAACAATTTATATTTTTGTTCAAGAAAAGATTATTATTATTATTATTATTATTATAATAATAAAATATAATATAAAAAATTATATAATATAATAAATATAAATATAATAATAATATAAATATAATAAATATAAATATAATAATAAATATAATATAATAAGAAAATATAATATAAAAAAAAATATAATTGCCTTATAATGTATCACTTATAATGCATTTCACTTATAATGTATAACGATGACAGGATGATAATTAGGCTTGTATTTAAGAACCGAGGAGCAACTTCAGCTGAAAATAAAATTGATTAAGAGGTCGCCGGAGTTTTGATTAATTCAAGAACAATTCGCCGAAGGCTTTTTAAAAATAGTTTAAAAGCAAGAAGACCCAGAAAAAAAACATATTTAAACAAAAAACAACGAAAGAATCGTTTGATTTGGGCAAAAAAACACAAGGAGTGGACAAAGGAAGACTGGACAAGAGTTATTTGGAGTGATAAAAGCAAGATTTCCATATTTGAAAGTGATGGAATCAATTATGTGAGATGAAGACCCGGTGAAGATTTTTTACCTGAGTGCACATTGATTACAATGAAGCATTCCATAAGTGTAATGGTGTGGGGATGCATGACCAGAGATGCTGTGGGTTGTATCCACATTGCGGATGGTATTTTAAACGCCTAAAAGATACCAAGAAAACATATTAAAAGCTAAATTACTCCAATGATTGATAATTTGTTTGAGGGCAAAATAGAAACCTGTGTGTTTCAGAAGGACAGTACTACATGCCACACCGCAAAAACTGTCAAATATTGGTTTAAAGCCAAAAAGATAAACGTTTTGAAGTGGCCTGGAAACAGTCCGGATCTAAATCCGATAGAAAACCTGTGGTCTCGACTGAAAAAACTTATAAGGAAAGAAAAACCTGGGAACAAGCAACAATTAATAGAGGCCATAATCAAGTCTGGTTTCACGTGATCATGACTGAAGATTTGGGCAATTTAATGCCTCGTAGGATTGCTGTAGTAATAAAAAATAGTGGATATTAAACAAAATATTAAGCTTTTTTTTCATATAAGCCCTTTTTTTAATGACATGTTTTGTAAGCTGTAAATTGTAAATTTACCATAACTTGTCACTTTGTCACTAAAGTGTTATATTTTTTATTAAAATTGTAACTTTTAATTAAACTTTTAGTTTTTTTTTAATCTAAGCACATCAAAAAATAATAATCAATATAGAAAACCGCATAATATGTTTATTTTCTTTTAAAAAACACACCAAAGTGAAGTTTTTATATGGGGTGTCTATTCCTAAGGCCACTTAAAGTCTTAAAGAAATTTTTTAAGAATTTAGATTAAAAAAGAACAAAAAACCTAGATTGCTCTTCACTTAGTTTTTTAACATTTTTGTTGAAATTATTTGCAGCATGTTGCAAAATTTGACTTCTCATTATTTTATTTATAAATTAAAATGAAATATTTACAGCAAAGAAAATTAAATATTTACTGTAAAAATAAAACATTGGCAATAAAACTGAGTTTTAAAAAAAAGTTATAACTAGAATGAGTGCACAATTGTAATTACTATTGTAATTAAAAACTAAATTTAAAATAAAATTATACTATATTAATTATATATAATTATATTATACTAAAAAATACAGAATAACCGTTTTATTATTACCATCTTTATAATACTAACAGTTTATTGATACCCAAGTTGTTTTTTATTATCTCTGGTGATGTTAAGCATGTTGTAAACTGAAATGCCACATAAAAAGAAAATATTTTTTTTTTTAGATGGTTGTTCTTTATTTTTATTGTATGAATAATATATTGCTTAACAAATACTTAACTAATTGCTTTGTAAGTACTCAGTACCTCTAACCCCCGGCATATTCAAGTTATTAATTTTTTAAGCAATAATCATTATAACCCAGATAAGTATTATTAAGTCAACAATAACTCTAAAAACTTCTTTAATTTTTTTTAATGTCCTATTTACCTTAACTTGCATTAAAATCTATGACACATAAGGCCAACTTTTTAAAATCAGAGCGTCAATTATACTTTTAGTTGCAGGATCAAACGATGAGTTGAAAAATTTGTAAACGGTCTGGACTACACCAATGCTTCAAGTATCCTACTAAAGATACATGACTTATAAATAAATGGTTACCGTCAATTTCATTACCATTCAAATAGCATATAGTTGAACTAGAAACACTGCAGATTTAGGACCTTTAGTTACTCAGACCTTAAGTGTAAGATAGAAAATAATGCTAAGATTTATCTACATAAAACAGGTTTAGCAATAAGATGTCTTATTTGGAATCGAAGATCAAGTAATAGAGATCTCAAATTTCTAAGATTTTTATTATTAAATCAAAAAATTTCACATCCAATTACAGCAGCAAATGTTTAAATAATGTTTGATCCACCACATCCTTAAGTGTAAGACCTTAAGTGTAAGATAGAAAATAATGCTAAGATTTATCTACATAAAACAGGTTTAGCAATAAGATGTCTCATTTGGAATCGAAGATCAAGTAATAGAGATCTCAAATTTCTAAGATTTTTATTATTAAATCAAAAAATTTCACATCCAATTACAGCAGCAAATGTTTAAATAATGTTTGATCCACCACATCTTATAAAAAAATATTAAAAACAATTTAATAAAACATGACATTTTATCTGATGGTTATATACCGGTTTTTACATCCATTTAAAACAATCATGACAACCATTTAAAACAACCATGAAATTCATTTAAAACACCGCGGCAATCAATTAAAACAATGTGATTTTCAATTAAAACAATCGTGATTTTTAATTAAAACATAAACGCATGCGCAATCTCAACATTCTATATTATTTAAAAAAAAAGGTTTTCTTTATATCTTTTTTATTCGATTTTAAAAAAAAAATTTAAAATTTTATTTTATTTAAAATATAATGTTTATTTTCCAATTACTGTCGAGGTATGTGATCTGACCTAAGACACGCTTCGAAAAAGCTTTCGCAGTGTGTGTAATAGTTTGATAAGTTAACAATAGGAATAGATAAGCATGCCTTACGCATTTTTGAAATTAGTTCATTTCTTCCAGCTGGGGCCGTATTTCTTCGCACGTTATTCTTAAGATAAAAAAAAATCTCTTCGCACGGATTCAAGAATGATGAATATAGTGGCAAATATTTTATTTGAATGTTCTGAGCCCTCATCTCAACATTATGATGGATTATGACATTATCCATCACCAGGGTGAATTCTTCCTCTGTCCCCAAAACTCGTACAACTATCAATATATTCTTGAAACAAAACTGTGTTGACTGACACACTGACAGCTTCGCAGTGAATAATATTTAAACCATTGACGGTCAATATCATTGAAACGTTACGTTGCCTAGGGTGAATGATCGGGTTTGGTGTTACTCCTCTTCTTGCCCATGAATGACTGCGAAACGTGTAAATTAAATGAACTTTCATCAATAAAAACAATATTTCGATAACGATTAATAGGCGAGATTAAAGTATACCACCTAACATATTCAATACGAAGATTTTTTACATCATTGTCGTTTCTTCTTTCATTAATTGGTCGAGTAATTTTATATGTGTATTATACGACAACTTGAATATTTAAGAGTTTGGATTTCCAAATAGGTGCACTTCTAATTGATGGGGTTAAGAGATCACTGTCTCTAATATTGTTTGTCTTGCAAACTAATTGCTTCATGGTTGTTTTTAAATTGAGCTGTTTGCACAGCTCAATTTAATAAGGACTATTTAGAATTTTTTTTAGCATTAATACAAGCAAAAGAGGTTGGACTGAAAGACCAACAACAATGAAATTTAAAACAGCATATCAAAATGTTTTTTTAATCAGAATAATTTAATTCTGATTAAAAAAAATGTAACTATCTAACTATTCTGTAACTATCTCTTAGAATTAGATTTCTCTTCTGCAGTTACCAAAGACTCAATTACCAAAAAAGTATTTGAGAATCAAATTTCTACTAATGAACAATTGATTTTTAAACAGCCATTTTTTAAAAAGAAATTACAACCTTGTCCATTGCAAAATGTTTTAACTGATTTAGCTTCACAGGTTTTAAAATCAATTGCAGATGATTTGATAAAGAATTTGTCAAATATGTGTAAATATTCTTTAAAGTACGACACCTTCTGAAAGTAAACTATTTAATGACTCTTTTTTTTAAAACCTATTTAACGAAATGGAAACTGTATTTATAACGCAAATGAAACTTTTATTATTTGAATAAAGTACAATAAATTATTAAAGTAATAAAAAAAGATTGCAAGTTTACAGTTCTTTATGATGAACATGTTTATACCATGCCTTTTATGTGGAAGAAATTTTAATCAGAAACTTTGTTTACATGCGAATATCTTATTTATTTCTTATTGATAATTGGGATAGAGTGATAACGTGATTAGAAAGATTTACTTTTAAACATGTTAAATTTATATTAAATTTTAACTGCGCTAACATATTAATGTTAGACGATATATATATAATATATAAGCAATGTTATGAAATAGTTTTAAAATTATTTTAAATTATAAAAGAAAAGTTTTTTTTTTGGGAAGCCGTCTGGTAAAAAGGATGCAGTTTTTAAATTTCACTAAGAATTGCGTACTGTTATGATTATTTGGTTCCGCTAAACATCTCATAATGCTTTGCAGCCAAAATTAAATACATCTATCGGGCATTGATCAATACATAATTCTTAAAGAAAAATCTTTAAAGTAAAAGAAAAAAAATTATGGTCGACCAGAGCTAGTTAGCAACTTTTTTTCCACTAATATTCACTAAAATGATAATATTTTGCAAAAAATCATACAATCAAAAAAACCCAGTAACCCCCTGGTTGAAAGAAATTAAATAAGTAAAAATATCTTACATTTTAACAAATACTAACGTTAAAAAGAGATAATAAAAATTTGAATTTTAGCAACCACATTATGGCAAAACTTTAAATAAAGATAAACTTATAGGAAATACAAGCATGTCACACACAATGTTTAAAAAAATAATAATAATAAATACAAATTTTAATAAAATTTTTGGACAAAACCACACTTTAATATTTAAAAATTATAACCATTTATTTCTTTTACTTTAATTCATATTAATTTTTATAAGATAATTATCTCTGTATAAGATAGTATACAGTACACTATATAGTCTTTTATTCAAATGCTGTTTCAATGAACTCCAAAAAACGTGAAGCGTAGATGTGAGGTTTTACTGTAGATATCTCTGCACCCGCCTAAAAAAAAACAAACATTTTTACTCGTTAAAAATAAATATTTTGAATATAGATTAAAATAGAGTCAAATGAAATGTTTTTTTTACAGAAAAAAGATTTTTAAATATTTCAATTTTTAAGTTGTAGAAAAGTTTTATTATTTACAATATTATTATATATTTACACATAATAACAAAACAAAATATATAAAGAAAAGTATGTATTTACAAAAAAGATAACTAAATTTGCATCATCAATTAACAATTGGTAAATTAACCAACTACAAAAATACTTATTATAAATGCAGCATATTTTTTTCAACCACTCCCTCTCCTCATATTTTACTTCCTACAGGATCCACACTTCCTATTAAAAAATGGGGGTGGGGGAGGGAGGGGAGAAAGAAGTGTAAACTTTTGACACCACCAGTCAAAAGTTTACACCACCAGTCAAAAATTTTCGATCACTATTTAAAAATGCTTAAATACAAAGAAAATACTGTTAACGATGAGTCGTAATAATTATGCTATAACTTTGCAACTTTAAAAAAATAATTTTTAACTTGCTTAATTTTAATTTATAATGGGTCAGAAATACAAGCTTAGTAAATAAACTTTTGCAGATATCCATGAGGAATCAAATTCTACACACCAAAAGCCAATTTTCAGTGTCAATGGTGCAATACTGTCTCCAAAATTATGGATTAAACATGATGTGTTGGATGTTTCAGATTTAGTCAGATTTTTGGGAATACATGATGATATTGGGGATTTAGTGAGAATTTAGGGAATTTTTGTTAGGTCTCGTTATAACGGCATTCTTATGCAACATACTTTTCTATCTGAACTTTTTAGCATAAATAACTGTTGAATTTTTTAGGTACCAACCCTAAACAATTTTTTAGCATAAAGAACTGTTGAATTTTTTAGATGCCAACCCTAAACAAAACTGTGTAAATATTATCTTTTACCAAATAAATATGCAAAAATAATGACATACACGGATTGGCACCCTCAGTCACTGGATTGTAATATCATTGAGTTTTTATGGGATGATCAAAACAGAAATGTTAAACAAATGTAACCAATAATCAAGAGCAATTCTGGGAATACTTGTAACTGTTGGGCAACTTACATTAAAAAAATAGTTGGAAAGATTGATACAGATACAGATTGATAGATTGTACAGCAATTTTATGTCTAAAGGTTACTTTAAAAGAATCAAAATTGAAAAAAAAAAAATCAAAATAATGTTGGATTTTTTATGTCTAAAGGTTACTTTAAAAGAATCAAATTTGAAAAAAAAAAATCAAAATAATGTTGGATTTTTTATGTCTAAAGGTTACTTTAAAAGAATCAAATTTGAAAAAAAAAATCAAAATAATGTTGGATTTTTTATGTCTAAAGGTTACTTTAAAAGAATCAAAATTGAAAAAAAAAAAAATCAAAATAATGTTGGATTTTTTATGTCTAAAGGTTACTTTAAAAGAATCAAAATTGATAAAAAACAATCAAAATAATGTTGGATTTTTATTGTTGATACATTTCTGTTTCAAAATAAATTTCATATTATTAAAAATACTATCAAAAAATTAAAGTAGTGTTAATAATCAGTTTTACTAGTAGTGAAAGGTGATCAAATATTTTTGACCGGTAGTGTATATGTTTTATGTATATTAAAATCATGCCAAGTTTAATTATTGTTATCTTAAAAAATGGTTAAAACATCATTTGCTAAATGTGCATAAGTAAAAGTTTTAATGGAAAATGGCAAGTCTGAACAAATGATTGCTGTAAATTTGAAAATGATTAGAAAACTGTTCATGGTATCATTCAGAGCATTAAGTCAACAAATGGCATCAACCCAGACAAAAAAAACTGTAAAAAGACCAAGAATAACCACTCCAGAAATTGACATGATACACCATGAAATCCTTTTTTTACTAAGTTAACAATTTGTGCATTTCATTCACTCCTATAGTTTACTGTTTCTGTTTTTAACCGCCGTTAAAACTCTTACACCATTTGATTTTACAGATGAAATGGCAATTTTACCTACGCATTATGCCATTTACAATTATTTAAACAGTCTTAAAATAGTTAGTGCTGAAAACATTGAGCAGTAATTAATTGTTGTAAAAAACATCTCTGAAATTGTGAAATAAATTTTTTTCTACTTTCAATTTTTAAAATATTTTTAATTTAAATTTATTTTATTACAATTAGATTAAATTTATTATTAAATATTAATAAGTTAAAATATATCTTATTAAATTTAGTTTAAATTATTTTAAATTTTTATAAAAAATTTATATCATTTTACAATTTTTTTTTTTACCTTAAAAATTTTGAAACATTCTTTTTATCAAATTTAATTTTAATTTTTTATTTTCGTTTTACATTCAACTATTTAGTTTATTTAGTTTCATTTTTTAAAATTAATTAACTTTCTATTAATATACTTATTATTTATAGTTTCAAATCGAAAAATTTTTTTCATCCCGTTACAAAAGTGCTAATATACAAGTGCTTGATGCTTATAACTGTATATAAATGTCATATAAACCATAATAAAGCCTGTAAACAAAATTAATTTAGAGAATTTTTTTAGTAAACTTTATGTAAAAAAGTTATGAAAAGATGATTTTTTGTTGATAATGCTTTTTAACATAAAAATTTTCATTATTTTTAAGTTTTTAGATCTTAAAATGAAAACTAGTAAAAAATGATTAACTAATTTATGAGTAGAAGGCCAAGTATTTGTTAAAGCCAAAATGTTAAAAAAATTGTTGATAGTTTTAATTTTTTTATTGACTGTTAAGAAATTCACCCTTAAACAATTTACAAATGTTGTGTAATAGATGTTTTAAGAAATAAATAAGTTAAAATAAGTTTTTAAAATAAGAAAGTTTTTTTTTAAACAACATTTAAATTTTATTGATAATTTTCATAATACTGTTTAATTTTAAAATATTTTATAAAAATAAACTTTAAATGATTTCTAACATGGTTTCAAATTAAATTTAAATACAATGGAGTACTTTAAAATACACAACTGACATAAATTAACTATATGACAATCTAATGACAATCTAAATATGGATATTGAGTAAAGATACATTTACTTGTGCTATGTTTTTCTGTTACCCAAAAAAATCTCATAACAAGGCTTAATAAATATTTGTATTCTTTGACTTTTCATATGTAGAATCTTGCAAAACTCGCTAAACCTACTTGCTCTTTAAGACTAGCTTAAAGATCTCTATTTCATCTTCAAATCTCAAAATTGATGGCTGATATTATTTGAATCTTAATAATTCTAATTGTGACATGATTGGCCTGGGCATATACTTACATATCAATTTATCTACTTGTTGTGAAAGTTTAAACCTTTTGGCCTTTGAAAAAAAAAAAAAAAAACAGGTTTAAACCCACAGATCTATTTGTCGAGAAAACAGCTTTAAAGCCACAGACTTTTATATGCTTTTATTTAGCACCACCTCAATCACTTTTCTCTTTGCACTTTACTGCTTCCCTTCTTACCAAGACAAAAACTTTATGATTTATTTTGCAATGGTACTTGGGAGTTTCTCTACCAGTAACTGCGTCTACTTTATGATCTCCTGAATTCAAGTAGGCATGAAAGCTTTTATTCCTTCTTGTTGGGTTCAAGTCAAGCCTCAATCTATTCTATAGTTCACTTCTTCTAGCACAGTTGCAATTTCTAAATATAATCATTTCTTTCATCTTCTTTACAAAAATAACTCCCATGAGAACAAATCTTTTTGTCATTACATAAAATTGATCCAAAAAGTTATTGCCTGATACTAAGGTCCATTATAATGGACCTTAGCATCAGAAAATAATTATTTTCAGACTATTCAATGTTATGATTATCTCAGAAGTTAAGCTCTAAGTACTTTTAAAAGATCTTTAACAATGTTCTTTAACAATTTCTTGTATATGGGCCTAATCTGATTATTTCTTTTCAAGATAAGGCTATTGAATAAGATAAGACTATTTGCAAAGACAAATTCTCTTTATTATTCTTTAAATTATGTAAAAAGTGCTTAACTGAATCTTGTTTTCCTGCCTGTTAAAAAATAACATAAATAATTCTATATTATATATATTGATATTTCTATATTAATGAATTGTAACTCTGTTGGATTACCATACTGGCCTCTTACAGAAACTTTACATACAATAACCCAATTTAAAATTATCTTTGCTTTGCTTCTTTTTATATGTTGCTTTCCTACTCCAGATTCTCTTACTCTATAAATCTATTATTTTTTATATCTATTATTCTATTATTCCATTTTTTATGGAATACTGTTGCCATATTTCTGATGGTTTTTCTAATGATGCCCTTTTTTTTGTAATGTCTAATAATGCCTTTTTTTTAGGTTCTAACACATTGTAAATGTGGTTAGAACTGTCCTAGCTGCCAAGCTTAGGACTTTATCAAATTGCAACAAGGTTGCATTTTTTTGATACTGTTCTCATTTCTCATCATTGATACTGTTTATGTGTATGCATAATCAATTGTTAGACTAACCAATTTTGCCTGACTCACTATTCAGCTAGTTTGCACCCTTCAAATAAACTGTCCTTACGCTCAAAAAACTTTTATTCATCCAGTTATATCCCACAAATATCAACGCTTTGATATTTGTGGTATTTATCGACTAAGGTTTACAAGTACGCTACAGGGTTTGAGCAGAGACCTTTTTTTTTATTATTCTTTAAGTAATAAATGTAATCTTTATTTTAATAATATTGAAAGAAAAAAATTATAATAAAGTTTTTTTTTTTTTTTTGATCCTAATAATGTTAATAAAATATTCATACAACTTTGTTAATAAAATACAGTATTCAACTTTACAACATACAACTTTGTTACATACAACTTTATTACATACAACTTTATTACATACAACTTTATTACATACAACTTTGTTACATACAACTTTATTACATACAACTTGATTACACACAACTTTGTTACATACAACTTTATTACATGCAACTTTGTTACATACAACTTTATTACATACAACTTTATTACATACAACTTTGTTACATACAACTTTGTTAAATTATTTTTTAAATTATAGGATTATTATTTAATAAAAATAATCAATTATTTGTGGACCTAACAAATTTTACCTCCCAACCTACTCCTGCCTTAATAAACCTAGTGCTAAAATTATTAAAAAAAGAACAAAACACCAAATAGATAACTATTATTCAAATATTAGGTTTGAATATACAAAATTGGGAAAAGTATGCAATAAAAGTGTGAGTTTCTTTGTGATTTTATGTGATTTAAAAACAATCAATAAAGCATAAACAAATAAAATAAACTTACGCCATGTTTTACTGTTTTGGCTGCATGGGCTGCTTTTTTTGTAGCACCATAATAAGTTAACACATCTATGATTCCTATATAGTATATTTCATGTTTGGAGTCTGAAAAGCAAACAATAAAAAAATTATTTAAAAAGTTTAACAAATATTTATTCAATAAATCTTTAAAATATATACTTACCATCAATGCATTGAACAGCATAGAAATCATTTCCTAAAGTTGGATCATTACTATGGGTACTTTCAGCACGCATAAATTTAGGTCCTATGTTGAGATCATCAAGAGAGCATGGTTCATCAAGGCCATCTCCTGAGTCATCGCCTGTTTCAAAATCTTCATCACCATCTAATTCATCTTCATCTGAGTTGTCATCTCTTTCAGTGTCATGAATACCAACTAGCAAACTGTAGTCCATTATATTTAAATTAGAGAGGAACTAAAGAATGTAAAATAAAACTTAAGTAACTTGGTTGATGTCTTTTATAACTTAGTAACCTCTCATAAAATATTAAAAATTTCTTATTTTTACAAGGAAACATCAACAGTAAAGTCTAAATTAAATTTTAAATTTAATAAAATTAAAAATTATGGAAGCTAAATTGTTACATTAATATCGTTTTTGAGTTTTTCAAGAATAACTTCTTTTGCTTTAGCGCCGATTGATATTTTTGCATTGTCTCTTGTGAAGTCATTATCTTTAAAGGTTGGAAAATCCTTACCCTAGGTAATAAAACAATTTCTTTAAGAAATGTGTATAAAGATATTGCATGATTAAAATAAAAAGTTAATGATTGCATAAAAAAACCTTTTCTGAATCTTTAGCTTCTCTGTCAACTCTGGATCCCTTAAATTAAGAAAAGTTTTACTTGCTTTAATCTTAAAAATTTAGTCAAATATATTGAAATCATAAAATAATTACTGACCTTAAGATCATATTTCTTGTGTATTTTGAGACGGCTGCTAAATACACTACGAATTATTAAGTAGTATTCAATCTTGCTATCAATTGTTGTTCTATACATTCCGAGATATTGAGGAAGAAGTGTATTAGAATGAGATTCCACTACATACTAAAAAATTTATATATTTAAACCTTCAGTAAATGTAAGTACTGAAGCCATCACATATGGCTGATTTGGTACAAACAGTTAAATTGACAGTGTGAAATGGCAAATAAGACAACAATATTTATCAGATTTATTTCTAATTAACTTAGTTTCAAAACCAAATAACTTCTTATGGAGTTATTTTAATTTCTAATAAAAAAGAATAAATATCAGTAATTAATGTTGTTATCAAAATAACAACATGCTCTATATCTTTTATAAAGGGGAGAGTAGGGCACCATGATACACTTTTGGTTTTTGCGTTATAGCAAGAAATAAGTCATTTTTTTAGGCGATTTAATGTCTTTTTTTTAGGCAATTAGTTTAATTTGTAGAATAAATTTATACCTATAAAGTTAAATTTATTAGTAATCAAAATATATCAGGTTAAACTTTTAAGACTATTTAAAAATTTGAAATTTGTATCAAGGTATCCCACAGAATTGTTGATAACACAATGGAGTAATAATAGTAAAAACAGTAATTTTAGTAAGGGCCCCAAACAACAGTTTTAGAGCCACCTACAAAAGCTATATCGAGTTACCCCATACTTGCTAATAGAAAACAATTGCTTTATTTTTAGTGTCAACTTGTTTTTTCAATGATTTTGTTTAATGAAGTAAAGAGCTTATGGGTTGTAGTTTACAAAATAATATTACTTACTGAAAGACACATTGTATAAAATACCATATCAACTTTAAAAATTTGGAAATTACTTTGTTATCAAAAAACACAAATTTTGTCAAATGATTTTTTTTGTCAAAACATAACTCTAATGGTAACTGTTTCACCATATGAAAGTGTCACAACTTATAAGATACCTCCACAATTACAATGTTTCATGATGCCCTTCTCTCCCCTATAACTTATAGAAAACAGTATTAAAAATTACATTTTTTAACACACAAAAAATATAACCTGGTGATAGCTTGGCATTATTTGATGCATCATCTCAACTTCTTCTCTCTCAATTGTTTTAATGTAAAACATTTTATTTTTGGTGATTAAAAACTTTGCTCCACTATTTCCAGAAGCATTACTATCACAAGGTTGAATTAAAAATGATCTCTAAATATAAATAAATAAATTAATATATATATATATATATATATATATATATATATATATATATATATATATATATATATATATATATATATATATATATATATATATATATATATATATATATATATATATATATATATTTCTATTCCAGTGAGTCAAAAAAAATCAAATTTTAAAACGAATATTCTTTTAATTCGGAAAATGGAATTCAAAAGAAGATAAGTGATATTTTGATTATCCAAAAAAAAAATGATAGAAGACAAATGTTTCTTCATGTTTTAATTATTCAAAGTTCCCAATAAATAAATAAAATATTTAAGAAAAAAAACAAACATTTTTATTACATGTGATTATAACATTTAAAATTGATTTCATGACCCAGATTTTTTTGATTCTTAAAGATAATGATGTCTTTTAATATTTCATTATCATAAATTGTAACTAAGTATCTTGGAGGTATCTAAAATTTTATGCCAAAGTGAACGGGGTTTTGAATTTCCGTGCATGATTTAAAAGATCTAATTATTTGGAAAAAGAAGTGTTAAAAAGTTTCAATTTTTTTTACTTTGTGTATTGTTAGGCTACTGAATTGATTGGCAAAATTTATTTTTTTCTTCTACAACATTTTAGCATTGTTTTTTTGCATCACGCACAGACATATCACGCACGGACAAATATTTATCCGTGCGTAATAATTATTTTTCTTTAGCTTTATAACATTTGAATAGCATATTTGCTAATTAATTAGTTTGAGTAAAACTTAGATAGAAAACAGTTGCTTAAAAGAATTTAGAATTAAAATGAACAAAGTTAGGCATTCAATAGTTCAGAAAAAATTTAGAAAGAAACATCCAGAATATCGGATTGCTAAAACTAATCGAATGAAAAATAAAAGAGCTAACATGAGCGAAAAAGAAAAGGAGGAAGTACATCAAAAAGATCGCGAAAGAAAGAAGCAAAAGCGAGAGGAGAACCAATCTATATCTGATATTGAACAACCCTTTTTATCTCCGCAGAGTTTTGGAAAGGCACTTAAAAAAATTAATTCAGCATTACCTGCCTTCAAACAAAAGAAAATATCTTTTAAAACAAATTTGTAAACATGATACTACTTTCTAATATTTCAGAATCAAGCCCTGACTACGCCGGTTTGGACAATGTTAATTTCAAAGTTCTTGATTTTTATTTGCGAAAAGATATTAGCAGAATGGCTCCAGGACGTAAAGATGTTGCTATTAATAAGAAAACAAAAGAGAAGGTACGACACATCGTTTATATGTAGGAATCACATTTTATTTAACAAGGTTTTCAGTTTTTGTAAACAATTTTTGTTTTCTTTTAGAAACAAATTCGTCACATGCTGATGACCATAGGAGAAGCATATTTACTTTTTAAAAGTGAGCATATTAATTTAAAAGTGGGCAAATCTAGGTTTTACGATCTGCGTCCATTCTATGTCAATCTAGTAAACAATCTTCCTCACGATATTTGCCTTTGCATATATCATGAAAATTTCAGGTTGTTAACGAATGCCCTTCAAAAAAAATTTAATATTATGTCAGACATAGTTGACAGATTGACTGTGTGTAATCAAAACAACCAATCTTGCATGTTTATGGAATGTAAAGCAAACCGTGGGTTGCCAAAGTTTGATGAATATGTTTCTAATGTAATAGACTCATTTGGTGACGATTCCAACAAACCGCTCTTCGTTTTTGACCAATGGTCCTCAGAAAACTGGCAGAAAATTGAACAACCACTAACATCTTTGTTAGAGGAGTGCGTATTACTACATCAGCAATTGCCAGATTATATAAGTCATGTGTATATAAAGCGACAACAAATTGCATATTTTCTTTAATGTCGCCAAAATGTATCAGAAAATGAATTGATTATACAAGTAAGTAAAATTGTAACTTTATTTGTAGTATGATAACAAAACTTAATAATTTTGTATTAATCTTTTTGCTATATTTATAAACTAATTATTCATCTATTTATATTTTTAACTCTTCTAAAATTAGATGGATTTTAGTGAAAATTACACCATAATAGAGCAACTTCATGATAAATATGCTGTCTTTTTCATAATCAAAGAATTATTAAATTGTTATCATAATATTTGTAAATTACACTTTTTTACTGATGGTCCTTCATCACAATTCAAAAACTCTTATGTCATGATAGCCATGAATAATTTGTACAAATTATCATCTGATCTTCTTGAGATTCGTTGGTCATTTTTTACAACATCACATGGAAAGGGGGCAGTTGATGGGATATGTGGAGAAATAAAAAGAATGGTTTAAACAACAGTAAAATCTGGAAAACGATATTGTCGCAGTTTAGGAGAATTTGTGACCATTGCAAGTGAAAAAAATACCAAAATTAATGTAAGTCATTATTTATAGAAAAAATCTTAAAATGAAAGTTAAAGATATGAAACTTTTGGTTATTAAATTTTCATTTATTTAGATCATCTCTATTACAAATGAGTGTATTACCGCAAACCAAAGTGAGATCGATGAGACGCTTCTCAAAGATAAGTTTAAAGTCAAGGGTATTCGTCGCCACCACTCTTTTCTTTTTAATACTGATGGCGCTTACATGGCAATTTGTAACCAATCAAAAATGATAAAAATTATTAAGAATTCATCATCTTCATTATTGATAAACGCGGTATAATCCCCATCTGAAAGGTACAAATTTGATACTATTTCTTCAGGTATATTTGTCTTTGAAGAATTGCGTTCTGCTGGTAGAGCAAAGACATAGCTTGCTGAAGTATTAGAAATTTTAGATAATATGGCACATATTAAACTCCTAAAAGAACAAAACGAACTCATTTTTATATACCCATCTGTAGATGATCTCTCCTGGCATGACTTGTGTGAGTTAAAACCGTTAGTACCACAGCCACACTTTGATAACCGTGGACATATTATTATCAAGCTGAAGTGTTACAACTAAACTTATTATTAAAAATTTGATATTGTATCTTTCTTATCTTTAATATATTATTAACAATATAATACATTATTTATCTTTAATATAATACACTTAAATATTTTTTTTTTAATCCAACGTGTATTAACTTAATTAGTATTGATATATATGCTATTTATGATAGTCGCAATCCATTTATTTCCAAAAATACAATCCAAAAATGACGAATGTTTGCATGTTCCATTAATTACTTTTTTGTTGTTCGTGCGTTATTTTGGTTTAAACTACTATTACAGAGCAAAGATACATCGTAGAATGCTGTAACTTTGTAAAAATCTTTAAAAATGCTTGTATAATTACCCTTAAAAAACAAAACACTCGCCACTAATACATTTTCAGAGAAAATAGGATTCATTTATTAATTTTTTATTTTTTGCTTTTTTCTGTTCCGTGTATAAACCTGTGTGTGAGTATAAACATATTAGATATAAAGAAATTTATATCTAATAACTTTATACACACACACAAACACACACATATATATATATATTTTTATGTACCACATATATATATATATATATATATATATATATATATATATATATATATATATATATATATATATATATATATATATATATACAACCTCGGAATTAGGGTAGGCACGAACGCCGGTTTTTCCACTGAGGCCTTCTGTGTGTGTGTATAAAGTTATTAGTTATAAAAAAATTTATATCTAATAACTTTATACACACACACAAACACACATATATATATATATATTTTTATGTACCACAGCGTAAAAATGACTGGAAAAAAGGACTTCTTGACTTTTGCGGGGCCCGGGGCTATTTCCCTTCATATTTGTAAAAATTGCCCAAATTAATTACAAAAAAATTACTCAATTTAAGGCCATTGCTCTTGACAATTCTAAGGCGTTTGTTAAAGTTTACTATTTTTAAAGCATATATGTATAGTTGGCAGATTTCGCAGATCCCAAAAGTGAAAAAATATAGAACTATGGTATCAAATATGTATTTCAAAAAAAAAAAAACTCTTAACTTTAATAGAAATTCATGTTGGCACTGGCATTCCATACAAGAGCAGTTTTTAAATCAGCTTAATGCTAACCTGAATTTTAAGGATTGAATGCTAACCTGAATTTCAAGGATTGATGTTGATGGAAAATATAGAAAATGTTAGAAGCTGGTTTCTATGTATATTTTATTTCATATTAAAACTGGGGTGTGTTGAGTTACTAAACATCTTCTTCGTGCTTTTTGGATTAGATAACCTTTTCTCAAGATTTATATTAAAGTTGTCACTTCAGATGGAATAAGATCTTTACTTCTGCTTAATTTTACAATTTTACTTCCATAGAGTCTTGTGTTTTTAAAACAGTCAGACTGCAATATTTTTAAATAGATTAGATTTAGAGAGATGATAATTGTAAGAGTATTTTAAATAAAGTTATAAAAAATCTTAAAATCTTAAATTCATGGGTATCAATCTACATGATGATTTTATGCAAAATGACAGTATTAGTCAAGGCTATAATGTTTATGAGAAATATTTCTGACCAACAGGAAATGGCTTAAAAAGATAAAACTATTTGATATCTTTTCCATAACTGTAAAAAAAAATTTTTTTTTAAACATCTTCGCTTCCAACAAGGCTGCAAGCAACTACTAATTAGAATTAGAAGCTACTGGAAGAGAAAAGAAGAAGATTGTAGAGCAAGATAACGATTGACAGACAACGATTGACAAGACAACGATTGACAAGACAACGATTGACAAGGCAACGATTGACAGACAAGATTGCAAATTATATGAATCAGGAAAACAAGATGAAGAAAGCAAATTCCTAAGAACTGATGTTTGAGAAAAAAACTAGAGGAATAAGAGTTTTTAGAGCACTTAGGAACAGTCACAGAAAAAGGATGAGACTTAATTAAATGACGAGTAACACAAACGAATTTTAATAGATGGCACAAGAAACGCTAGCTCTTTAGAGTAGTGCCCATATTTGTAGAAAAGAGAAAGAGAAGCAAC